CGCCGCGGCTCTCCCCGGCTCCCCGGCGCCGCCGCCGCGCCCCGCGCCCGAGCCGAGCCCGGTCGCGTCGGCCGCCGCCGCCAAGGTGGCGGCGGTGCTGGGCTCAGGCGGCATGCTCTTCTTCTCCTGGACGTGCCTGCTCGCTGCGGCGGCCGGGCTGGCGCTGCTGCACCGCGTCACGACCTGCGACCCCGGCTTTTTGCGGCGCGGCGGGTGGGACTCGAGCCGCGGCAAGCGCGCGGCCGCCGGGGCCGCTGCCGCCGCCGGCGGCAGCGGCAAGTCCGGGAAGGGCAAGGACGGCGGCGGCGGCGGCGGCGGCGGGGTCCCGCTGGAGCACCAACACGGCAGCTGCGGGTCGATGGCGACCGGCCAGCGGCCGGGCGGCGTTGAAAATCGCGGCGGCGGCGGCGGCGGCAGCGGCGGGAGCGGCGTGAGCCACACGATTGTGGCGACGGCGCTGGAGAGCTCCCCGCTGCTGCGCTCCGACAGCGACAGCGTCAGCGGCGGCCATGCGCTGCTGGACTGCCCCGCGCTCTGGTCGGGCCAGTGGGGGCAGATCTGCGTCACGTGCCGCATCGTGCGGCCGCTGCGCGCGAAGCACTGCTCCGTCACAGACCGCTGCATCGAGGTGTTCGACCACTTCTGCCCCTGGGTCGGCAACGCGATCGGGAAGCGCAACAGGCACACGTTCCTCGCCTTCCTGTGGCTCGAGCTGTACGCGCTCATCTCGGCGCTCGGCTGCGCTGTGGCCGCGCTACGCGCCTACGTGGCCGCTGGCTACTGGTCCGACCGGCTGGGCTGGGTGATAGGTTTTGTCATCATTGACGGGTTCGTGGCGATCTCAGTGGCGGTGCTGGCAGTCGCGCAGGCCAGCCAGGTGGCGCGCAACGTGACGACCAACGAGCTCGCCAACTGGCACAGGTGCGGGGGCGTGGATGCCGGGTTTGGTGCGGGCGTGAGACGGGGGCGGGGTGGAGAGGGGCGACGCGACCCTGTCGCGGGCCTGCTGCCTTGGCCTGCACGCATCCTGGGTGTGCCAGCAGCATGCGCGTTTCGTTTGGCACCAACTGTCCGGTCACCGCCGCGGGCCACGGGCAAGGTGCTGCGCACGCCAAGATGTGCCATCTAGTGCTCACAACCGCGACCAACTGTTTATAACCGCCAACAACCGCCGCCGCAGGTACAAGTATCTTCAGGACGCCGCGGGCCGCTTCCACAACCCCTTCAACCACAGCTGCTGCACGAACTGCGCCGAGGCCTTCGCGCCAGACGCGGTGCCCGTTGCGCCTGTGATGCTGCCGCGCGACCCCGACTCGCTGCTGCAGCTCGGGCTGGTGCCGCCGCCGCGGGTGTGAGCGGCGCGCGCCGCGCGACGGCGGACGCGTGGGAGCGGCGCTGTGGCGAACCCGTGCTGTCTTCGCCGCGGGCGCGCGGCGTCACGCGCCGCTGTCGATCCTGCATGGGATGGCGCCCCTTGCTGCACTCCACTGCGTATGGTAGCTGCAACCCGTCCCTCCATGCCGCCACCTTGCACAATCTCTGTAAGCCCTCGCATAGCTTCCTGTTGCGCAACTTTCACAATGGCTTTTCGACTTGGACACCAAGGTTGTTGTGTTTGGATCGACCGTTTGCAATGGTCCTGCATAATGTCCCAAGTGCTGCTGTAGCTCGGGTAACCTAGTGGGTTCAACGCGACAACCCTGCGCCTGCTGAGTGCTGCAGCCGCCGCCGCTGTGGATCGCAGGCGCAGCGCTGCCCTGTCGGCCCATCTCTTGCCCAGCAGGGGGCCGCAGAGGCAGGGGGCCCAAAGGCGTGACCGCCCCAACCGCCTGGCTGGCTGGCGTTCACACATACAACACATCAACATGATCGTGCTCGAACTGTCTCTGATGCAGTCGTCAGGCGCGCAAGAGTCTTCCCAGCAAACCCACATTTACAATGGCGCCATCACAACGCCTCAAAGCGGCTTGACTGGTCTTCTACCGCCAGCGGCGCCGGCCAAAGTTCCGACAGCTTGCGCTGCCGCTTGGGGGCGCGGAGGCACCCCCTTTCCTCCTCTTCTTCAGGGCCCTGCTCGTCGCCGCTGCCAATCTCGACACTCGGCCCCTGCTCACCGCCGCACTGCTGCGCGCTGCGCGCTGGCTGCCGGGACGACTCGCCCATCGGCCGCTGCCGGTGCTGCTCGCCTTGCTGCCCTGCCTGCTGCTGTTGCTGCTGCTGCTGCTCCTCTGCATTGCCGCCGCCCCGCCGCTCTCCGCCTGAGAGCGGCGCCGTCGAGCCGCCATGCGAGAACAGCGGGAGCGGCAGCAGGCCCGCCAACAGACCGTGCTGTTGCTGCTGCTGCTGCTGCTGCTGCTGCTGTGTTGGTGGGATCGGCGAGCGGGGCGGCAGCGAGGGCGCTGGCGGCTGTGGAGCATTCTCGTCGCCGGAGCGGAAGCTGCCAGAGAGCTCTAGCAGATGGGCGCATGGGTGCTGCTGCTGCTGCCGCAGCTGCCCCGTCTCGCTGCTCCCATGCCACTTGCCAAGCTGCTGCTGCTGCTGCTGCTGCTGCTCCTGCTGCTGCTGCTGCTGTGACGCATGCCCTGGCCGCACATGCTCGCAGCCGCCGCCGCCGCCGCCGCTGCCACTGTTCTGGACAGCCGGCCAGCTGTCCCTGCTCGGGCTCCCAGACCGCTCCATATCTGGAAACCCAAACGTGGTGCTGCGCCCGAGGCAGCTACGCCCGTGGCGCGGCGGCGGCGCCAGCTGCGGCGCGCAGCGCTCGTCGCCTGCCTCCCCGCACGCGCCCCGCCGCCGCCGCTGGCCGCGCTGCTGGCCCTCCTGTTGCCCGCCGCCGCTCGACCCCGCCTCCGGCTCCCCTTCGCGGTCGCCGCCCCCGTCCGCCCGCGGCCCGCCCGCCTGCTCCGGCGGCCGGTCTTCCTGCTGAGTCGCCGACGGCTCCATCAGAGAGGTGTCAAAAGACAGCGCCCTCTGCAGCGCGCCGCCGCAGTCCGAGCCGCCCGCCCGCCCAGGCCGCGCCCCCGCGCCCCCTTGCAGCTCGCCGCCGTCGAGGGCGCCGCCACTGGGGTCCTCGAAGACGAGGAACTCGTCCCCCCCAGAGCGGCAGCGGCAGCCAAAGGGGTGCTGCGGGCAGACGGGAGGGCTGCCTGAGGGCCCGACGCCGGGCTCGGCGCCGCGCTGCTGCTCAGGCCGCTGCTGCTGCTGGTGGTGGTGGTGGGTGTCTTGATGCTGGCCCGACCAGGCCCACGCGAGCGGCGTGAGGCCGCCAAGGCGCGACAGCCTCTCGCGCGGCGCGGGCGGCGTCGAGCCGGCCGCAGCTGCGCCCGGGCCGCCGGCCGCCGCGGCCTCTGGGGCCGTCGTAGGTGCTGTCGCTGCCGCCGCCGCAGCATGGGGCGGCACCGCCTCCGGCACCTGCCGGCGAGCGGGCGGCTGCAGCGTAGGCAGCCGCTCGGTGATGAGCGCCTGGCGCAGCGGCCGCGCGCCCGCGGCACCGCTGCCCGGCGTTGCGGGTGGCGCGGCTGCCGTGGCCGCCACGGTTCCGCCATCCGCTGCGAGGCCGCCGCTGCGCCCGGCGGCCGTGCGCACAAACTCCCTCGCTGCGGCGCGCCGCGCGCGCGTCGTGCCCCGCGCACTGCCGCCGCGGGCCCCCTCGGCGGCCCGCCCCTCCACCTGAGCCGCCGCCGCCGCCGCGCGATCGGCCGCGCGGCGCTCCTCTCGCGATACAGCCCCGGCCGCCGCCGCGTGCCCCTCTGCGGCCGCGCCGCGGCCCGCGCCCAGCGCCCACACGCGCACTGTTCCGTCGTCGCTCGCCGTCGCCAGCTGGCAGCCGTCGCTGGGGCACCACGCGACCGAGGTGACCTCCCCGTTGTGGCCGTACAGCCGTACCGGCAGCAGCGTCGTATCGGCGGCCTGCGGAATTCGAGCAGCCAGCGGCCCGATGGGATCAGCAGAGCCCACCACACCCACTCATCCTTTTTCCATGCGTTTTCCCACGACTATTCAAAGTTTGCAACATGGCAAGGCCAGCAGCTGCGAGGTCACGCACGACCCCGGAATGACGCCCCCAGGCGGCGGCGCCGACTCCATACAGGGCCATGCCGCCGCGCGCAGCCCCGGCCGCGTTTCCCAAGGGGCCACTCACGCTCCATATGTGCACCGCGCCGCCGCTCGACCCGCTGACCACCGACCGGCCGTCCGGGCTGAACGCGGCCTTGACGCAGAAACTTGCGGCGCGGCCGCCGGCCAACGTGGCCCAGGGCGCCGCGCGGTCGAGGGAGGCCGTGGGGTAGAGGTGGTGGGCGCCGTCGCTGGTCGAGACGAGGAGGGTGTCGCCTGGGGGGCGGGCCGGACGGATGGACGGATGCATGTGTGTGTGTGTGTGGGGGGGGTGATTTTCTCAGGAGTGCAAGTTGCGGGTGCTTTCGTGTGGGTGTTGTGTGGAGGTTTAGTAAGAAGATTGAGCTTGATGATCATATGCTTTGTTCAAAGAGACTCTGCCGTACTCGGGCCTGCCAGGCCAGCAAAGCCGGTCTTGCATTGGATCCACAGCGGCCTTCCCGCCGCCGCCCTTCCCGCCGCACCCAGGGGCGACAGCGCCAGGGATGTCACGCCGTGCGGCCGCGCGCCGCGCTGGGGGCACGTGACGCTCATCCAAGGCGCCGCCTGCCCGCCGCCCCGCCCCTTGCCAGCGCTGCCCCTCGCCGCGCTGCCCGGCGTGCCGAGGCCGCGGCG